TTGGGAGGTATCTATCCAGAGGGAGATGGGGAGGGAGTCAAGGGTGACTGTAATCAAAATACATTGTTTATATGTATGAAATTGTCAAAGAATGAATAAAAGATAGTAAAAAAGAGAGTTGAAAATTCCCCTACAACTTTCAACTTAAAGGATTTGTTGCCAGGATCTGTGCAGACTGAAAATCATAAACTAGTCACCTCAGTCCTATGTCGAATGCTCCCAGATGCCAGTCGTCCCCAGGACTGAAAGTGCAGATAGTCTTGTCATGCCTTCACAACAGTGACTTCCAGGACCTGCGGCCCATGAAGACATGAACCGATCATGCTTGACAAAGTTTGGATGACTGGCTCACCATGATATTGGTTTCTCTTCTAGGCCTGAGTTTGTTTTTCTGTGGTTAAAAACATCATTCTGAGAAGCCTTCAGACCTTGCCAGACTAGAGAAACTCCAAAAGTAGCTTAGAGAAGAGAGAAAAACACCCAGAAACAATTTTAGTGGAAGCTGACATAGGCTCTGACGGTAGGTGAGAGATGTTGGGGATGATATACACTTCTGTTGGGGTGTGTGGGGAGGAAGTGATGCTGGGTGTCAGACAATAGGCAAAAAGTACAGGGAGGCCCTGTAGTGCCGGCAGCTGGTGGCGGCAGTTGCTTTGGAGGTCAGAAGAGAAAATGCCAACACAGAGGTGGCTCCTGGCGAGAGGCTGCACAGCAGCCTCCTGTCCCGTCCTACATTTTCTGACTCAGTTCTCCCGAGTCTGCAGGGGACAAAGCATAGCCTCTTTGGAAGATGACAAAGGACAGTTCTCTAACCCATGCTGCATACACACTCAGGGATGTGGGGAGTGCAAGCAGTAAGAGTGTGTTGAAGGCTTGATTATAGTCCTGAATCAGACTTAGCACTCTGGTTTGACAGCTGAGATGCAGGGGGCAGGGGGCAGAGAACAGCCATGCTGTCTCAGTGGCTCAGCAGATACTAATTTATTCTTCTGCTAGGGTGGTTCCAAGGTTCCCTGGGAAGGCTTTAGGGAAAGAGCCCTTCATAACTTGTGGGGGGGTGTCACAGGAATCAACAGTGGGGACACAGAAGGGGTACCAGGAACATCTGGAGGCCTCAGAGGGTTCCCAGGAGTAACTGGTAAGGAAAGGCCTTTTGGGGTGGGGGGAAAATGGGACAGGATGGGGGCAGCTGCCACATTATCAGCAGCTGCCCATGTAGGTCACAGTGGAGGTACTGCCCTATGCTATAGAGCACATTTGAAAGACATGGTCCCAGGGGCTGTGGAGATAGCTCAGTTGATAGAGTGCTTGCCTTATAAGCGTAGAAATCCTAGTTTGAGGCCCAGAAACCACATTTAATAAAAACAAAATTGGTGTGGTAAAGTGTGCTTATAATAATCCCAATGCTGGGGGTGTTGGGTGGATCCCTGGGGCTCCCTGGGGCTCATCACAAGCTCCAAGCCAGTAAGAGACCAAGTCTCAAACAATAAAATAAAGACGGATGGTTCCTGATAAATGACACTCTAGGTGAAGTTGTCCTCTGGCCTCCACATACAGGCATAACCACATCCACAGAACAACCCACTCCACAAAGAACCCTCAGACTTGCTAAGGCAGATGTCAACTCCTCCAGGGGCCCATTTCTCTTTTCGATGTGGCTACATAGGTAAACTACACTAGGCAGTTCCCCCGGGATGGCAATGCCACCACCTGGATGACTAGACACAGCCTACAGCCAGCCATGGCACCTGCTGCCTCACACTGTGAGGCAGAAACCTGGATGCTCAGGGCTCTGTATATATGCTCAGAGGACAGGCCAAGCTAAGCCTGATTTGTGCTGCTAACGCTACCACACATAAGATTCTTTCTCATGTCTGGCATGGTGGTGCACACCTTTAATCCCAGCTATAGAGAGGCAGAGGCTGGTGGATCTCTGTGAGTTTGAGGCCGGCCTGGTCTATATAGTAAATTCCAGGCCAGCTGGGGCTACATTGTGAGACCCTGAGCAAAAAAACAAAACAAAACAAAAAAGATTCTTTCTCATATGGGATTCAAATCTTGTTTCTTGAGAGGCTTTGCTCATTGGGACACAGGCTGTGGCAATGTTCTGACAGGAAAATATAATCATCACATAACCTGGCATTTTGATGCACTTGAAACTAATGTTGGAGGGAAGGGTAGGTGGGTCAGGGTGCAGTGGGATTGGGGTTCATTTTGTTATCTTACAGATATATTCAAAACATGCAACAATAAAATGCCAACAATAAAGACATATTGGGATGCTTTGGGGTCTGTTCTGCAGGCTCTGCTTGTAGAATGATTAGGTGTTTATCTTATTTACCTATTCTTGCACTTACTAGGAACAGTTCAAGGCTCCATGATGCTAGCTAGAGCAGTGTGCTTTAGGACGGCCACAGCATCGTCTCTACTGAGCTCTGGGCTGTCCTCTGTCATGTGGCTAAAAGCCAGGAGAAGTTTCTGCCTCACTGCAGACCCCTGCCTGCTCTCCAGCTGCAGTCCTCTGTAGCAGGTTCCCAGGTGGCCCTGGGCCTGTCTAGACACTGGGCCTAAAGGGCAGGCTCCTGTAAGGGAAGCAGGCACAGAAATCCATCAGAAAGTGTTCTCAGTAGGCATAAAGCCACCTGTGTGTCATCCTGCCCTTCACAATCCTACAGCGTCCTCCTTTGGCTCTGGGAAGTTTGCAGATATATGAATCCCACTATCTGGTGCTGGACTCCTAGTGTGTCCCCTGCCACATGCTGGTGGCTGCTACAGACACTATGCAAAGGAACAGTATTCTAGATGTGCCCCTCCCAGGAGGAACAGAGGAGAGTCCCTTCTGTATCCTGTCCGTAGTACTTGCATTTTTATGTGTCTACATCCCAGGGGTGTCTTCCTCCCTGGGACATGCACCTGAGCCCAATCTGTTCCTGTTGCACTGTGATCCAGCTGGGACAATGATAAGGGTAGACCAACACCTAGAATGGGAAGAGACACTGGAGAGGAAGCCCTCTCTTCTTCCCTTTACAGTCGCCAGCACTGAACATGGGCATGCAGCACTACAAGCTTGCAGCACCACAGGCCCTACCCACTCCTTTCTGGTCATGTTCCTGAAACCTCCTGTCAAGGCCGAGCACCTGTTTCTCAAGAGGGGAACAACAGAGAGCTGAGGCCCAAAGTTACCTTGGAAGTAAAGGAACCAAGAGTAAAGCTGAGCTCTGTCAGATTCTAGGTCCAGTGTCCTCTAGGAGAGTCGTGAGCCCCCACATAGCAAAGACAGAAGGATGACAGAAGAATGGGTTCCCACACTTGGTACCCCCCCACACTTGGCCCCAGTTCTGACATCTTAACCTTTGGTAGGCCAGTTCTGCTCTGAGCCAGGGTGCTGAAAGGCTGACTGCTTCTGGAGAAGCTTCCTGACCCTCAGACTTTCCATCTCAGGAGCTGCTCAGTTTAACTGCTGTCAGCAGTCGGCCTTCTACACAGCTTCAGCTCTGCTCAAGTCCCTCATGGCCTTCTGTTAATTCAGGAAGGCATGCCCCTGACTCACATCCTGGGGGACCTCTGGCTGGTTCATTTAGGCACTGGGTTCCCTTCTGAGGCAATGTGACTCTGGGCAGTATTTCCCACCTGGACAGTCACTCTGTGAACAAAAGATCATTTCTCCTTCCAGCCAGGGCAGGAGGGATGCAGTCTGGGGCTTCAGTATGTGTGTGTGTGTGTGTGTGTGTGTGTGTGTGTGTGTGTGTGTGTGTGTGTGTGTGTACAGGTGCATGTGTGTGCAGGTGCATATGTGTGTGTAGGCCAGAGATCAACCCTTGGTGTTCCTCAGGTGTTGCTCCCCTTGTTTTTTGAGACAGGGTCTCTTGCTGGGACCAGTTCTCTCTGATTAGGCAAGGCTGGCTGGCCAGCAAGCTTCAGGGATCTGCCAGTATCCTCCTCCCCAAGGCTGGAAGCACCACCATGTAGGTCTTTTTTAAAGTGGGTTCTGGGGCTTGGAACTCAGCAAGTTAAGGACTGAACTATCTTCCCCAGTCCCTGCACCAACTTTTGAAAGCCCCAGATGAGTTACATTTGTAACTCATAAGGGAATCCTGTGCTTCATGGAACCTTTAACAAAAGGTTGGCATGGGACCTCAGGAGGGGCTCCCCAAACCTTGCACTGGAAACCTCAAAGGATTTGCCTGGATCGTTTTCTAAAGCCAAAACCCCAGGGTAGCCTGAGGTGCAGGAAACCTTGGAGGTCTGGGGGAGGCTGGGAAGCATGGAGTCAGTTCAGAACCTAGAAGGGCAAGTTGACTCATTAGGAAGACTGGGAAAGGGGTGAAAGGGTAGGGGGCAGCCTCTAAACCAGGACCTCAGGCTGTGGCCGGGAGAGGAGGGAAGGGATCGTTTTCTAAAGCCAAAACCCCAGGGTAGCCTGAGGTGCAGGAAACCTTGGAGGTCTGGGGGAGGCTGGGAAGCATGGAGTCAGTTCAGAACCTAGAAGGGCAAGTTGACTCATTAGGAAGACTGGGAAAGGGGTGAAAGGGTAGGGGGCAGCCTCTAAACCAGGACCTCAGGCTGTGGCCGGGAGAGGAGGGAAGGAAGGTGGAGAGAGAGAGAGAGAGAGAGAGGGAGAGAGGGAATGGGTGCACACCTGGGTGTGCATATACATGTGTGTGCATGCATTTAGAGACCAGTGGATGATGCCAGCTGTGGCTCCTTAGCCGCAGTCCCTCATGTTTTTGTTTTTCAATCCGAGTCTTGCATTGGCCTGGAACTTCCTGATTCAGTGAGTCTGGCTGACCAGCAAGTCCTAGGGATCTGCCTTTCTCCATATCCCCAGCACTTGATTATAAGTGTAGACCTCCATGCCTGGGGATTTTAGGCGGGTTTGGGAAGATCAAAGTCAGGTCTTCACACAACACAGCAAGCACTTTACTGACAGAGCTATCTCCGCGATCTGAGAGGCGGGAAGGGAGGGAGGGGGAGGGGCGTGCGCGTCTGCCCCGCGCACTTCGTCCCAGCGCCGGCTTCGGCGCCCTCGCCGCAGCATCCAGCTCAGCCAGGCCTCCCCGCCGCCGCCTCCCTGGGCTCTCCGCCTCCGTCGCTGCTGCCACCACCGCCGCCGCCATTCTTGGCGCTGAGCTGGCAGGGCTCGGCCCCTCAGAGAGACGCCTCCGGCGGGACGCGCGCTCCAGGTAAGCGGCGGGGCCAGCGCGGGAGGAGCGCGCCCGGGGCTGGGCAGGTGCATGCGTAGGCCGGACCCTCCGGGGAGGTGACGCCTGGAGCCCTCGCGGTCAACCCGAGGACCCTTGCAGGAGCGGCTCCTGCGACCCCTCGGGCCTCCCGGGACCCCTCTCGGGGCGCCTCCTGGAGCTTCCTCCCGAGGTCCTTCCCACATCACTCGAGCCCCCTCTTCATTCCCACCCGGATCTTCGGACCCCCTCCTCATTCCTACCCCATCCTCGATCCCCCTCTGCAGTCCCACTCCGGCGGCGATCCCTCCCGACCTCCCTTCTCTGCTCTCGCCGGGCCCTGCCATGCAGGTGGCTGCTCTGGAGCGGGGACGCGGGGCTCAGCCAATCGCGACACGCGGGGCCAGGCCCCGAGGACAGGGACTCTGGGGAGCTGGCCCCTTGGGACGCGCCCACTTGCCAGGGCCCGCGCCCCTAGCCTGGCTCCCAGCCCCGACCGGGCCGGCTTCTATTTAGGTCTCGGAGGCCTTGGCTTGGGTGCACCGGATGTGGCGCGGTGCACTCAGACAGGTGCGGCTGGCAGGGCCGCGGGGGCGAGGTCGCCACTGCCGTGGGTTGGGCGCTGCCAGGCCGTAGCTCCCTGGAAGATTCGGGCAGCGTTATTCTAGAGCCTCCCGGAACCACAAGCCTGTGCTCGGGCTGCACCTGTTGCTGGCTCCCGGTGAGTTGCAGGGGGCTGGCTCTGTTGGAGCTATGCCAGTCATGGCGCGGAAAACAGAGCTGAGCACGTAGCTGTCCTCTTTATTTATGCCATTTAGTCTCTTGGGAGGCGGGTGGGTGAATGGGGAGTCTTGCTTCAAATGAGGCATGTGGAGGGCTGGTACCAGCATTCTGGGGAGTTTGCCACATGAACTTGCTCTGCTTTTGTTTTTAAAAACCACAGTGTGTTGAGCACAACCCAGGCCCGTGGGTGGCCAATCCCTCACTGGACGCAGGGCCTGTGGCCAGATATCTGACCCTACTCTTCCATCCACCAGGCACTACTAAACGGAAGTTTCCTTCCCAGGGGGTGAAATGACACCAGCAGCTTGTCACTTTCTATGTGCCCCTGGTAGAGGACCTGCCTCCTGGCTGCCCAGCAAGGTTATTTGGGAATGTTTACAGTGTTCCAGAAGCAGGCAGCCTTGGCCAGTGCTGGGGAAGATCCTGGTAGCGACTATAAAGATCCGATTGTCACTTTGACCGTTGGTGTCTGTGCACATCATGTCAGAGTGATCATCTGTTGAGAAGGAGAAAGGATGAGCGGATGTTTGTGTGAGCAAGAACTGTCCTCCGACCTTCAGACTGATGACTTTGGCTGATCCAAATAGCCAGTGAAACAAAGAAATAAAAGCACATCGCCTGTACCCAGTTGCAGCTTTGCCTAGGAGCCTTTCCTTGTGTTGTATTGTGTTGTGAGACCTGGAGCCAGCACTGGAATGGGGGATGTCTCACCATGATGGGTTTGTTTAAATCTGCCTGTCCTCTGAAATGGAGACATAGACTCCAAGCCACTCCTGACTGTCCTAATCTTCTGAAAGCATAGCCTTGCAGAGACCCCTCCCTGAGTGACTGGAGCCCTGGCAGGGCTGGAGTCTGAGGTGTATGGCAAGGGCAGGAGTCCAGGGTCTGGGGCCAGGGCAGTGTCTTTGATGAGACACTGTGGACACTTGTGGACAGTTGCTCTTCTGTACATGCCCTGGATGGATGGTATCCAGTGAGACCTTCCCCACCCCAGGAGTGGTGTAAAGCTGGCCAGCTGGTGCTGGGGAATGTGTACTAATGGCCAGCCCAATCAATAATGCATCACAGTGATCAATGGTTTTCTCTAGCCCTTCAGTGTGCTTCTGAAGGGAGCCTGCCTTGGGAGGGCTGGGTGGGGTCAGGAGAGTGGCCTTAGTTTCTTGATTCCTTTATTTTGTGGCGTGAGCTTGGAGCCAGAGTCCCTGGGCTGGAGTTAGGACCTGTGCACCCCCACCCAGGGCATCCCCATTATCTCTGGGTTAGCTGTACAGTATCTTAGACAGGCACTTGGAATTGTTTTCTGATTGTTGTCATTTAAAGCACTCTCCCCTTCCTGTTTAGAATTTGGTGGGTTCAGAGCACCCTTGGAAAGGTACCTCCCAGTCCTCTTGCTCAGGTACCCTACTCCCCCATATTCCCAGCTCCTAGGGAACCACAGCATGCATAGAACTGATTGCCCAGGGTGGTCCACTTGGAGAAAAGCAACTGTCAGCAGCCTCGTGATCCTCCTACCTCACTTTCCTGAGAGTTGGGATTACAGGTGTATACCACCATACCTAGTTTATTTCTCTCTCAATGGTGACAAATTCCAGAAGGACCTTATAGATGGTGAAAGGTACCTGTGAGAGGCACCTAGGCCTAGGCAGTGAAGGAGGGTCCTTTTTGTTCCCTTGGCTCAGGACCATCCTGAGCTTGGCAGCTGCAGCCTGGCCAACCCTGTCTGTACCATCTCAATTTAAAGCATGGCTGCCCCTGGGTAAAGTCATGGCCCAAAGCTGGGCTGATCAGGCAAGTTCTTGTGCATGTGTCCAGAGAGGTTTTCTAGATCTCTGTGCAACTCCTCTGCCCAAAGGAGATGCAGAAAGAAGTAGAGATCTGTTAAGACATGCTTGTTGACCTTTCTGCCAAGCGGTGAGCTGGTGGGCCTCCCCTAGAGCAGACGCCATGATGTCTCTGCATCAACACAGGTAATCTTTGGAAGATCCAGTTGACTGTTTTTTTAAAAAAATAATTTCTTGAGAATTTTGGACATGCATATAAGGTGTTTTGATCAAATCCATGCCCACTCCCTCCTCTCCAACTCCTCCTATATCTCCTCATCATTTTTTTATGATAACTTCATGTACCCTTTCTCCTCCTCCTCCTCCTCCTCCTCCTCCTCCTCCTTCTTCTTCCTCTTCTCTTCTTCTTTTTTAAATGGGGCTCTTTGCTATTCAAACATTCCCCCTCCGAAGAGGTAACCCTAAAATCTTTTAAGGATTAGATAAAAACTCCCAGATATTTTTGACATTTTTGGCCTTTGGAACAGAGTATGTTGCTAAGAGGCCCAAGGACATTTTGACTTTTAGCCAAGAAACTGGCTACTTTTCTTTGGGGTCTTTTTACCCTAACTGCCCAGCCAATTTCTACCTCCTATTCTCATCACACCATCCTCTGAAGGGAGGTTTTTTTTTTTTTTTTTTTACCAAATTTTACCAGAATTGCCAGTAGGGAATCGGGATGCAGACCACTCTGGCTTCTTCCACACTGAACAGGGATGCAGGGTGAGGCAATTGGGGTACCCCTTCAGTGGGTCTATCTAAAACACTCCCAACTTGCATAACTCTTATCTGTAGGGGAAAAGAAAGTCCTTGAATCATGACTAGGAGACGTGAAGAAGTAAAGGCAAGAATAATTATCATTACAAGTTCTAGACAGGGAACTAGAAAAAAGTCAGAACAGGGCAAATTTCAAATGTTCATATGAGGATCCATTGGAATTTCTTGACAAGAGCTTCCAAAAACATCCCTCTATTGGGTTCCTCCTCATTTTTCTTTTGTCTGCCAAGGCTGGACTTGAGAGTGATGGATTCAGGATTTGCTTTCAGGCACCTTGATAGCTGTTGGAGTGGTTAGAATCAGTGCCAGTTCCCTCTCAAAGGCACCAAGTGGAGGCAGGATCCGGGCACTCTCAGGCAGTCCCCTGAGTTCTCAGCCCCTTGCCAGGGGGAGGCTGGAACAGGCACTCTCTGGTGGTCTGCTAAGATCTCCTCCAATTGACAGTTTTGTTCTTGGGGGCTTGCTTGTCATCTATTTCCCTTCCTGAGTGCCTTTGCCATCTACCTGGGGTACCAGACCAGGACATATCTCCTGCTGCAGCCCCTGGCCTGGACAGCAGCCCCACTCCAATTTCTGTAGACAGGGTCCTTTTATTTGGTTTAAACTCCCAGATACTGTCCATGAGAACTGTGACTGCACCCCTCCCCTGGGCTGCTTCTGAGAGGTGCCTCGAGATTGTAGGTTTCCTAGAACCTCCAGTCAGGTTCTCAGTCAGATCCCCCTGTGATCTTGTCAGAGCTAGGCTGCCTGTGAGATAGACATTTGCTGAGTGAATGGCTGTGTGAAGGCCTTCTTTATGACCACAGTGTGGCTGTGTTACCGTGAATGTGGCAGAGGACACTATGGAGTGCTTGGGGTCTGCCCCAGATCTAGGAGTTGGGGTTATCTCTGGGAGGCCAGGTTGGGGTCTGAGTGAGGGTCCCTGGGCTCACTACTCTCTTTGGGTCTCTTGTGTGAGCCTTTGGAAGTACTCTGTAATGAAAAGTTAGTAATAGTGGAGGAACGCCAGATCCCTCCATGCTGATCCCTTATTTTATGAAGCTAGTCAAGGGTTTGCTTCAAACCTCACCTTTACTGCAGTACATGATTTGTGAAATGGTTCTGTTTTCACACATACATGTAGTCACCTATGCATGGAAATTGTCTCTTGTGTATATAGAATGCAAATGTGTGTCTGCAAGGACAGTGTTGAGCAGGCAGAGGAGAGGAGACAGGATGGACCATCCATGCTGGTCGGGCATGTACCTCTGTCTCCTACAGTGGAATTGTTCTTGTGGTTGTCAAATCCATTTTAAAGAAAGGGTCTGCAATGATGATGCTTATGTGAGGTGGTCAGTCTGTGGGTGGATGGGTGGCTATCCACCTCTGAACTTGATCTACACCCACCCCCAGCAGCAGAGGGGACCGGGCAGATGCCATGATGGTGAATTAGTGTCTCAGGGGTTTGGCACTCTTGCCTGAGCCTGCCCTCCCTTGCCCTCCTTTATACTGGAAAGTATGCCAGGGAGCTGGAAGCTGGGGCAACGGAAAGCAGTGTCCAGCACTGGTTTGTACAAAGTAAAAAGTACAAGTTGCCTGGAATTCTAATTAAATGCTTTGGTTTTTTTTTTCCCTACCCCATTG